TTTCGTTGTAATGGAAATTTTTCTCAATAAGCCATTATGCATATTTATCATTTAAATGGTTTCTGTATTAAATAATAAATTGGCCACAGATACTATTTTTGACTGCATATCGCACATTTATGTTGTTTTTTTTGTTTGTGTCTTGTTTCGTTGCAATTTGCATAAACGTCGTTTTAAACAAATTATATTCTGTTTAACATATTCATAAATTTTTATAAATTATTTACAAAACATTTGTTTATAAAGCACAGATGTTAAAAGTTTTAAATTTAATTGTGAATAATTTGTGAGGTGGTAACCGTTTTATTATTTGTTAATATTTATGAAAAATTATTTTCGAATAAAATAAACCATATTTAATGTTTCTGAATTAATCACTGTAATTAGAGACATGTAAGAATATCTGTAATACATTGTTTTAGTCGTTGCAAAGAGGTTTCGCAAAATGGAGGCAATTCTTAAAAATATAAAGAAATAATTTTTTAAAATAATTGCATTCTTGAAAATCAATTTATCCTAAAACTTGAGCTAAACAATTAAACTCAAAAAAAAAAGTTTAATAAAAACAAAGCATATTTAGTATAACTGAAATACAAGGAACCTGAGTATGATAGGTTATCGGTGTGGTTATAGTGAGAAAATGGATAAACAATAAAAATTGAAAAAACTCTTTAATAATATAAATTAATTGTACATTAACTCAATGTGTTAACACAAAGGTCCTGATTCAAAGTTGATAGCGCTCAATTACCTGATACTTTTGGTCCAAAAATTATGTATTATTATTATTATGTATTATGTATTATTAAACCAACAGATTTTTCCAAAAAATACTGATAATGGTTATTTGAAATATCTCTATGATCAGCTCAAGAGTTTACTTCATTAAAGATGTTTCTTTACGGTTTGGAAATTTTCGCACTATTACCATCCCATCCTATTCAAAATAGGTTTTTTAAAATATAAAATAGAATTTTTGATTATAAATATACAATATAAAAATAAATAAACTACAATAAATTTTAATCCCGAATATTGGCATTCTAGTAAAGTCTTAAAAACTTATTGAAGTTTTTTTACCTTCTAAACCAATTGAAATCCAATTGTTCATACAGATGGTTCATACAGAACCATAGGATTGATTACAATATCGCTGAGAAACTTCTTCTTTATTTGGCGATTCAAATTCGAATATTGGTAATCATATAACATAAAATCACATTGTTTAAATAAACTTTAACATAATTACAAATTTTTTATGATTTCTGCATATTGTTTTCTGTATCTAGCTATATTGATAAGGTTGCCAACTTCTCGTATCCATTGACGTATATTTCACAACCATACAAATTGTTTCCCAATAATATGTCGTTTCACTTCGATTTTTCTCTGAATAATCATTTGGAGTAGCTAATATTTTGAATATCTTATTACATGCCCTATGTAAGCTGTTTTCCTTGTTTTTTATAGTTGCTAACAATTCACGATCTCAGTTCATTCTTCGTAAGACTTCATTATTTTTAACATGATCCGTCCATAGAATTTTGATTCTAGATAGATAGAATTCTCCGAAGAATCCATAACTTAAATGCTTTAAACTTGTTAATAACAACTTTCAAAGTCCATGGCCTATAGGAGTATAGAGCAGAGAAACTACTGTTTTCAAAAATTGTTGGAATTTTTTATTGCTCAAAGAAATTTAGCTCTTCATGGATCTAACCTAGAGATGCCTAGCTAGTAGCAATTTTCATACCCTTTTTTTGTAATATCCTTTGTTATAACGACTTCGTACAAGCGAAAGCTAATACATATAAGGTGTTCTTCTAAATGTGTGAAGGCAATGAAACTATCGTATGCAATGTGTGAAGCAATGGTCGTCCATAAGTAATTATTAAAAGGTACTCACACATTTTATTTAATAAAAGTATAAAAAAGTTTTTTTTTTGTGCATAAAACCATTATTTTTAGTGCTGTTTGTGAGCAGATATTATAAAAAATAATGTTTCTTTGCACTATAGTGATCATAAACATTGTTTTGGCGTTTAATAAGAAATTTGTTTTAATAAAAGGAAGCTTTTCTGGAAGAGGTTTTTTGAGAGGCCGTTTTTAATAGGATCACAATAATTTATATTAACACCTTGTTATTATAGAGGGTTACAAGAAATGAAAAATTGATCTATATATATTTATAGTATATATGTAATTATACATGATTGGTGCATATTGCAACAATTAAGAAAAATTTTATATATTCACAATTATTCCGTTAAATCTGAGCTTGAATTGCACAGTTTAATTTAATTTTTTTTTTGGAAATACGTGTTCGATTTCTGGTACTTGTAGTTTCAAAAAATTATTTGCGAATAATTGAATACAAGAATTATTTTCAAGATCACTGATGATGTGTATTTGGCATTACTCGAAACAGTTGTGTAGTTTGCCAAAAACTCAATTAATTAAAATAATATAAAATAAATTTTTGTTGTTGTAGTTCACTACTGTTCGAAAATATCTTCAGGAAATACTTTTTGCATTATATTGTATTTCTTTACCATAAGGTTTTAGAAAATGAAATTATTGAACGGTTTCATAAGAAAATTTGTTTCATTACGGAAATTAGTAGTTGCAGTATTTCATAGTTCTCAAGAGATTTATTTAAATATATAGCTTTAAACGTAAATTTTTTAAGTTGAGAACGTTATAGAAGTATAGCGTATAAAGATACACATATATGAAACTTTTTTAGTTGGTAAAATAATTAAAAAGATACGTTTAATATTATTAAACTCTGCGAAGTAGAGCAAACTCTGCACTCTGCGAAGTGCAATAAGTTTTCAAATTAAGTTATGTTTTGCTAATATTTAAATTTTAGATAATTTTAGATAATTAAAAAGAAAAGATATTATTGCTTCAATATCATTATTGCCATTGTTCGGTACATTAGATATAATATCGTCTGAGCTGAATAAATGCTCTTATAAATGATTAATTTGTAGTATTCGCGTGTGATTGGTTTAATCTTCTTAAAATATTTGTTTTTAATTTTTTTTTAAATAATAATTAATCATTATTAATTCTATTCAGATCATTTATTGTTGTTACAAAAATAAAAATAATTATTATCTTGAAGTTCTTGATCGATTATAATTAATATAACAATAGAGACTAAATTCTTCGATATTGAAAATTTCATTATCTCCTGGCTGAGATTGGCTTTCAAGAGGATTTATTTAGGCTAATGAGTAAGACTTTTGATGATGAGTAATATAATTTGAGCTGTCTTGTTAAAATTTTGATATTTTTAAGCTGTTTGAATGTATTCAGATAACAATTCTTATTAGGTATTAATAAAATATAAATAAATTAATATAATAAGCACAACAGAATTTTTGACTTCAACTCATAAAACTTTTTAATGAAGAGAACTAAGTAGTACTAAATTCATATTAATAACTAAGTATTCAAGTATATATAGGAGTTAATAAATCTTTAAGATTCATATCTTTTATCTTAAGTATATATCAGTAATAACTTAATATTGTCAAAAAAGCGCTTAAGTAATGAATATCATTAAATGGTGTCAGTATCAGTACGGTAAATGATCACTTTCAACAATATGATTCTAAATTATGAGAAAGTTAAAATTAAGGGAAAAAAAATTTACCAAACTTTTATTTTACATCCGTTAATCTGATACAGATGAATAGTTCTTATATTGGTTCTGATTACTAATTTCTAATCCGATTAAGGTGGTTTTGAGAATTGGTAATACGGTTAAGTTTCTTAATAATTTTTTGTGTTATTAAATAATATAAATCACATCATACGCAATGATGTTTTCTTACTTAATTAAGCAACTAATCAACTAAATTTTTTAAAATAAAAAATAATTGAGAATTTATTATCTTACGAGTATTATGATTAACGATATATTTTGAAAAGAAATATCATATAAAATTTTTAATATATAATTTCTATATATTTAATAGTACTGGCAAGTGTGCTTGGTTATATCTCAAATTGAAAATTTGATCCATAATTCCCTTAAATCATTCTGTATATTGTTTACTCTGATTTTATTTTTAAAAATATATTTAAAATTTTGTTTTTTGTGGTAAGACATCCAGAATACATAATATATAATATATATTCATAATACAAAAAACAGATTTCAGAATGGTCTTTAATTTCTTTTGTCAATTTGATTATGTTACTTTAACCGATTTTTAGCCTATTTTTTGTAGTGAAAGGTATAGCTAAGGGAAAGAGGAAAAGGACATAGGGAGTCATATTTGCTCATATAATGAATTTTCGATGAATACTTCTCAAATTTTTGAATAACAATTTGTTGACAATTACAACTTTGTGTGGAAGTGCTATATCTAATTGTAGTCATCACACAAATCTGGGTTTTTACGATGAATATTTTATTTTGAACACCCCATAATGCCTTATGACTGCTTGACATTCCAGTAATAATTCAAAATATGCTGCACCACGAGAATTAATGAAAGAAAGTGATCAAAATCTTGACTTAAAGCTGTTTTGTTAGGTTTCAGAAAAATTTTTGTTATCCATTTTGATGATTATTGATTTATTTGTATTTCGTACCTGGTCCTCCCAGATTTAAATAATTCTTTATTCTAAATTTCTAAATTCTAAAATTCTTTAGTCACACATTCATGCAATATATTAGAACTACGGATGAGGCATTGGTGTACCAATACAACATACAAGCAAATCCATAGTCATCAAAATAGATAATAAAGTATTATCACAAGTTAAGTTCTGCAAAAGATTTAGATCTTCTGAAAGAAGTCTTCCAGGCACACATCTCATGTCTGAAACATCAACTAGAGCTAAATAAACTGTATGCTAACAACTTGCTGCATAAATATAAGTTCTTAAATCTTTTCACGCGAAGCTCTTAAATATATATTCTAGTTCAGCATTTTACAGATATGTGTATTATATAAAATAATATTATTTAATATTTTTAGTTACTACAAATATACTGTATTTCATAATGGTGAAGATGTTTTCAATCATATGGTGCAATTGCAAACAGTGGATGAAAATTTGGACTTTTGGTTACTGACACGTAATATGTCTATAATATCTGTAAGCCCTACAGTGCAACCATTCCTAGAAACGAGATTGAAGAAATTACGTGTACCATATGTAGCCAAACCATTAATGGAAGAAATGTAAGTCTATTTCAAAACGTATATTAGTTATAAATGTGTTAAATATAAATATAATTTATTTCAGGTCTGCCTTCACTCAAAATGTGACTGATACCGAATGTGATAATTCAGAATGCACATTAAGTCGTTCTAAGAGACAGGCTCGTGGTGTTTTTGGACATTTTCCACGTTACAGTGAGGTGTGATTATATGGAATAGTGATTTGATAATTTTTTTTTGTTAATATGTTATAGTCTTATTTTAATTAATGTTTTTATTTTTATTCTATGTTGACATTTGAATAGATTTTAAATTATATGAGCGCTCTTGCTTCAAGAAATCCACAATATTGTCGTTATGAGTCTTTGGGTCGTACACATGAAGGACGCCACGTAGCTGGATTGTCTATATCTTTGAACAGTCAACTTCGTCCCAGACGTGTTGCTTATGTTCAAGGTGGTACACATGGTCGTGAATGGATTACACCTTTAGCTGTACTTTACTTGGCCAATGAGTTGTTAAATAATTTGCGTGCTTTTCAGAGCGTTTTACAAGATACTGAGATATATGTGGTACCTTTAGTCAATCCAGATGGTTATGAATATACACATACACGAGTAAGTTAAAACTCTGTGGCCCTATAATGGGGTAGAACTTAATTTTATATTTGTTAGTATTATTATAAATGTTTAAAAATTATTTAATATGTATTAAATATTTTTTGTTTTAAGGATCGTTTTTGGCGTAAAAATCGTCATCATTATGGTGGTAGATCATGTGTGGGTGTTGATATTAATCGGAACTTTGCTAACAATTGGAATTATCGTGGAGCAAGTCAAAATGTAAGCATTAATATTAAATGTGATGTACTATATGTTTCTCATGGAATAATATTTTGAGGATAGATTAAATTTAGTGTAAAAATTTAATTTTAAATTTTATTAAAATCAATAAATATTATAATTTTTGAAAGCTATTAGTCATATTATAATTTTTGAATAAATATTATAATTTTTGAAAGCTATTAGTTATATTAGTTATTGAATAAATAGTTTTTTATACAGTGGATTTAGAAGACGGGACATAGGCATACTATTGGATAATGTTCGTTTATATTCCAATTATGTTCGTTTGAGCTTTTTAGTGTAGGGCTATCTATAGTCATTAAATTAGTTAAGAAGGGACAATGAAATGAGTTTAGATTTTGCTATTAAGTTTGTAGAGATTCCGGATAATAAAAGCAATTACAGGTCCTGAACCGTATTGTCATATGGGTAGAGAAGTGAAGTATGGGAGATAGCATTAAGGAATTGCAAAATACGGATGAAGGGTCAACTCTCTGGAAATTGTATTTGTTTAACACAATATTAATTGGTAAAGCATATAGTGATATATTAAAATTTTGTTTTAGCTTGTCGCAAATCAGATTAAGAGTGTTGCTTGAGCTTTTGCGTGGCCGCTGTTGGCTTAGTGAATACTCAAGTAACATAGCTATTACAGATTCTGAAAATTACTTATTTAGAGATTCTGCGATAAATTAATTGAGTTGCCAGATTATAGATAAGGGTGAAAACATATGAGAGATAATACTCGATAGCGTTCAGTCCAGTCAAGATAGTTTTATAGAATTATTTTTTCATAGTACAGGATTGTACAATGATATACTGGATGCAGAAGCTGAAATACTAAATAAATTATTAAGTTCATATTTAGATCACAAGTTGTAACTTCGTTAGATAGAATTAATATCAATTAAAAAATCATGAAGTTTTCAATTTCATTTAAGAAATTAAACTTTCAATTATTCCTTAATAAACCAATATTACTTTCTCGTCAATTGAGCTATTTTTTTTGGATTTGAAATCAATCATCCTTTACTATTAAAATATTTATTTTCATCTCCGTTTCAGTTATGTTCTGAAGTTTATTCTGGTACATCGCCTGGTTCTGAGGCAGAAACATCTGCTGTGGCTCGCTATTTGAGCGCCAATCGTCATCGTGTTAAACTTAGTTTGGATGTGCACTCATTTGGAAAGTACATCTTCTATCCTTACGGTTATTCGAGGTGAGACATTCAAAAACGAAAGAATTTCACTTTCATATCTGAATTCAGATGTTGTCGCAACATGTGAGAAAACTAATTTATTTTTCGTTTAGAAAAATCAATTAACAAAATCAATTATAAACCAAAAACTTTTTAGATAGATATTTTAAATTAAATTTTAATTTATTTTTAAAGAAATGCCCTTGCGCCCACACGTAATTTACTGCATTCAGTAGCTCAACGTGCCGCCACACAAATTGCCAAATATCGTGGCACGCGTTATTCCGTTGGCACGTCTGCGGGTATCCTTTATGAGGTAAGATAAAATGCATTATGGAAAAGGACATTTAATGGATTTTTTTTTCATTAAATAGGCTTCTGGTGGCTTAGATGATTATGCTTATGGCAATTTGGGTATACCGATGTCCTTCACGCTTGAGTTGCCCGGTGAAAATTTCCAAGTGGCCCAATCAGATATAATACACATTTGCAAGGAGACATTTGCGGGTTTGATCGAATTTATCAGGCACGTCAGCTTGTACTAATTTTTATAGGTCCTTTTTATGTTTATTGGTTGTGTGTTTTAAATGCATCGTTGTTAATTTTAAGTAGTACTAAATATTTTTTATTTAATTTAATAATTTAAAATAAAATTGTGATTAAAATGAAAATAAATGTTAAATAGTACAAATGAAAATTTTAAGCATTTTATTTGAAAAAAATATTAAATTATATTTATTTAAAACGTAAAAAGAAAAGATAAAAAAAATGAGTGCATAGTTCTAGCAGTTAGTGCTCTTATAATAATAAATTAATAATTGCTTACTTAAATTTCAATATTAGTAAATATAATATAATTATATATAAATTATATAAATTCTTATCATAATTATAAATTATACAAAATTATATACATAAAAAGGTTTTTCGAACAGTAGTAAATTATAACAACAAAAATTAATTTTATATTATTTTAATTAATTTAATTTTTGGCTGTCCATAAAGCTGTTCAAGTATTGTCAAATACATATCAGCAGTGGTCTTGGAAATAATTATTGTATTTAATATTTCCTAAATAATTTTTTGAGATTGAAAGTGCCAAGGATTGAATTCGTGCCCTGTCAAACTTGAAGCTCAGAGTCAGTGCAGGTGCCTTAACGAACTGACCCAAAGCCGTACTGGACTTTTTTATGTTCGCACATTTTTTTGGAGTTTTGATACTTTCATGTGAACGTTTAATTAACCAATTCATTTGTTGTGTTTATATTAGAACACATTTGTAATTAAATAAATAAATTAATCAAAAATTAAGTACATAAATCAAAAAATTAAATACGCATTAAGAAAATAAAAATTGTATGAATAAAATATTAAAGTAGTAGTTGTAGTAGTGGTAGTTTAAAAGTGTAGTCCCACTTCGGTACTGCAAAACATTAAACGTTGAGGGTATTGAGACGTTGCTCACTAACTCGGTGATCTGCAAAGAAAATTAAATGACAAAAGTTTGAAAGCCTTTTTTAATTACTTTTTTATTAAAGTTGTAAAACTAAATAACTAAAGCAGCTTCACAAAAAATAAATTCTCATTGAATGTGATCACTTTTTTTAGTTACCGAGTACGTTTGAGCAATTATATCTGTTATTAAAAATGCTTTCATTACAAAGTATTCTTACCTATAAATATTTTTATGTTTCGACAATTTATAATTGAAAAAACTTTCCTTAAACATTAAATCTTAATTTAACTTAAATCAATTACAAATGAAGTTCTTGCAATCAGTGTTCCACTTACCGCAAATGTAAATATAAAAAAAAATTAAAATGTTAACTAACAGCAATAAAATCAAGGAAGAAGCGCAATACTGCTACGTTATTAGCACTAATAATCTAATCTAAACAAATAAAAAAACCAAAATAAAATAAGAAAAATATGTCAGCTAACAGCACTAGAGAAATGAAAATATAATTTCCCAAAAATTTTATATAGAAAGACAATTTTCAATGTTGACACCTTAACCACTTTAGTAATACTGGTTAAAGGTTAACAAAATAGACAATAATAAAAAAAATTACTCAATCAATTAATTATTAATTAACCTTTCTTAATGATTTGCTTATTTGTTTTTGTTCTTTTAGAAATGAGCGATTATTTTTTTCCTTTATAAAGAAACCGAATAAGAGTTACCGAAATTGTTGTATATAAAATTGGAAAAAGTTTAAGAGATAAGATAAAATCATTTACAAATTGATTACAGATCACCATCAAATTCAAGGTTATCTGACGTCATTTAACAACACTGAAAATTATTAGAGTGTTATATATAGAAAGTTGTTATATATATAACTGGGAATTTATACATATACCAGGTGGTTATATATTGGCAGTGGAATTGTGATAGTAAAAACAAAAATTATCTTTATTTCATGAATTAATGGTCTGTGTTGATAAGTGTTAGTATTTTGATTCAAAATTTATAAATTAATCATTTGTAAAAAAAAGTTCAACGTAACATATAACGCTATTTTGTTAAAATCATATATCGCCCAAATTAAAACATCTTATCAATGACGAAGAAATCAACAGTCATGTTTCTCTATTAAAGGAAAGAGCAATAATATATCCATTTTAAAAAAATATAAACCTATACATGTCCAGACCATACCATTGATCAAATTGTTAATTTTTGGGGATGTGAATACTATTCAGTTTATGACTGTTGGTTACTTTAATTGCGACTATTTTGCTTATTTATAAACCAAGTTAATCAATTGCTAAGCATGATTTTTACAAAAAGTAATGGATCCGTTTTAAGTTATAGAACCCAATCTGCAAAATTTATACATAATAAATAGCAATCTGGTGTGAGTTTCGGATCAATTGAATTTTGAACAATTAAAATTATAACTTTAGGGTTATAAGAAAGTTTAAGGGTTCATTGTCTTATTGGTTTATCGATAGCAATGGTACTACTGAAGATAAAGTACACAAGATAATAAGGTATTGATGGGGGAAAAATTTTATATTAATTAGTTTTTATGCAGATGTGATCAAAAAAGCTGTGACCCATGTGTGTAATTAAAAATATTGAATTTAGATAGTAGTTTGCTGGGCCACCACGCATAGATCTGATACTTCTATAGCGATACTAGATTAGAGTCCTTAAAGACAGTTGATGATAATACAGAGAACTAAAAAGGTTTGTATCATTTGTATATATTCAGAGATAGTTTTCTTCAAAATCAAGAGTAAAGTGCAGCCCATTAAAATTGGTAGCTACAAGAAATTTTATTTGAATTGTAACATATAAATAATATATAAGTTAAAGATTTTAATATGGTGCCCGTTTCTATGCCTATATATTGATATTTATTGTTTTTGTGGTCATTGAAACTTTACTGTACTTAACTTTAAAATATCGTTCAAGAAATTAAATTAAATTTGCATGTAAGATAATATTTTTCATTAATATTATTTATTATTATTATGAATATTAATAAATTTAAAATATTTTTTATAATTTGTATATTTAAAAATTAAATTAATTAAATAAAGTGATATAAAAATACTACGTTTATACTAACATGAAGTTTTCTTTTTATTAAAGCTAACTTTTAGAATTTCATACTGCAATATTTTTAGCCACCACTGTATGTGTAGTGCGAGTTCTATATTATTTACCTATACGCATGCCAATGCTTTAATTTACATTTGGTTGAAGTGATAAATATAGGAATTCATATGAGAAGTATTGGCTTGTGTGTACAAAGCAATTAAATAATTCTACACTATTTAAGTAGGTTTAGCTAATAGTTACGTCGCTGGATCATTTTCGATTAGAAATTAATTTATTGTGTATTATAAGTGCGCGTATGTTAAGATTCCGATAAGATTATTGCCGGATATGGGACTGTTGATTATGTATTTTACCTGCTTAACTTCTTCGAAATCACTTGTTGCGTATTAAAGGTTTCGAAAAAATTCAGTTCTTAATAGGTCGTTTTGAAGAGAGTACTAAAATGTTGCGGTCTATAGGTGCGCTCTTTCTGCTGATAGTGGCTGTGGCTCAAGTCAGTGCTGAAGGATATGATGGGTATGTAAAAAATTTCACACATTGAGAATATATAATAAATTTGAAAAATACAAACATTAAATATCAATCATATAGTTACAAAATCTATGAAGTCACACCATTGACAAAAGCGCAATGTGACCTGTTAAAGGATTTATCAAAACGTACAGATGCATATGATTTCTTCTCACTAAGTAGACAACCCTTGCATCCTGCACGTGTGATGGTTAGTCCAAATGACGTTAACACATTCGAGAAATTTCTACAAAACAATAAATTGCAATTTAAAGTGTTAAATAAAAATATTGGTAGAACTATTGAACGTGAGTTCAATATAAATCAACTATTCAGAAGTATTTCTCCCATTACTGGAAAAGGACGTCTCAGCACTGAACGTTACTATAATCATGAGGAAATTAACACCTATATTGAAGATCTTGCTAAACGTTATCCAACACGAGTTTTTATTAAAACTGTTGGTTACTCGTACGAGAGACGGCATGTAAAAACAATAACTATTACTAATGGCGATGGACGTGAAAATAAAAATGTTGTCTTCATGGACGGTGGTTTCCATGCACGTGAATGGATATCCCCTGCTGCTGTATTGTATGTGATCGATCAATTAGTTGAAAATTTTGCTGAAAATGCTAATTTATTATTGGATTATGATTGGGTTATTTTGCCAGTTGTTAATCCTGATGGTTATGAACACACACAGAAATCAACATTGTCTCGTATGTGGCGCAAAACACGCCAGCCATATTCTCTTTTGGGAGTAACTTGTTATGGAGCTGATCCTAATCGTAATTTTGATTTTCATTGGAATGAAGAAGGTGCATCTTCGAATCCATGCGTTGATACCTATGCTGGACCAAAACCCTTCTCCGAACCAGAAACAATAATTGTACGCGATATAATGCACACATTGAAAGGACGTGGTATTATGTATTTAACCATACATTCTTATGGCAATTATTTGTTATATCCATGGGGCTGGACTAGGTAATTTTAATTAATTTAATTTCTTCCAAAATTAATGTTTCTATTTTTAGTGATCTGCCAGATACTTGGGAGGACTTGGATGAAGTTGCACGTGCTGGTGGTGATGCTATCAAAGAAGCAACTGGTACTGAATATTCAGTAGGCTCGTCAACTAATGTGCTCTACATTGCTGCTGGTGCTAGTGACGACTATGGTTTCTATGCTGGTTTCCCAATTTCGATTACTATGGAACTATCAGGCGGTGGTCTTACTGGTTTTGATCCACCTGCTTCGAAAATTGACGAATATGTTAAAGAAACTTGGATTGGTATTAATGCTATGGCTAAGAAAGTAGTTGAAAAGTATCCATTGGAGAAAACTGGTTTCCTTTAGTTGAATTCATTATTGTATATCAAAAAATATTATCTGTAGTATTAATATATTAAACACATTTAAAATAAAAACTAGATTAAAATCTTTTTATCAAAAAACAAAAAATCGTGATTTAATACAACTTATATCTTAATAATGTAATTCAAAAAATATAGATAAGATTTAGTATTAAAAAATTATATTTCTGTGTCGATTATAGATTAATATGAATGAAGTATTTGATAACTATTGGAAGCAAAGTTTTGAAATAATTATTCATTATACAGTATCAGGTCTTAAAATTGTATACTGAATTTTTTATAATAATAATTTTGTTGTAATTTGTATTATTTTTATAGAAATCATATAAATTTTTTTATATGTTAATTTTAAAATTATATTGTTGAATATTTTTTTTTCAATGCAACTTAGTTTCTCCATAAAAAAAATTGAAGATATATTTTACGCTATATATATGATTTGGATTATAAAAACCTTGGGCATAGTGTTTAAAGTCTGCATATCAATAAATGATGATTTATTTTTCTGCGTTGGAGACCCAGTAATACTTATCAAACCACTCACATTCCCTAATGGGTGTTTTTCCCGATGATGTTTTTCTATCTACAACTTTAAAAATTACAAGAGTTGTGTTTAAACATATTGATTAATATATTGTCGAATTTGATATTGATGGCTTTTTCTTGAATTCTGATTATATATAAGGCTTTCTTCCACTAAATAAATTTAATGTTATTTATGTATAAAGTTTATTAATATTTAAGTAAAACAAGGTTAAACTATCAATTGAAGAGTTTGTTTTTTATCAAAAATAACTTAAATATTTTCAATGTTATATGGAAATTAAATTAATTTATTTTAGCTCACAACCCTTGTGGGTGGTCCTAAAGTTGATAAGCAATTCATGGCATATAGTAATATGTTAAGGTTTTTTATACAAATTGTTAGTTTTGTTATTGTTTTGATATTAACATTGAAATAAATACTACTAGTGAATAATTTAAAAAATTTAGCTCATAACTGATGGATTAGCATATTATATATAATTTTATTAGTTATTACTTTGAAGGTAACAAGTTCTATATGTATGTATATTTCACTTAAATGTAATACGTGAATATAGTTAAAAATTGCTAACCTTGAGAAAATATTCGCAAAATTTTTGAAGTTTTCTAAAAATATTATTTTTGAACATATTATTTACAGATATTTATTAAAAATATAACATTGGTATTGCATTAATTTATTTCCTACTTTTCAATACCTTTTTCTGACATAGCTGTCCTGCTAACCCAGGTTTCAGAACAAAATGATTAGATTTGTGAAGGAGATGGAGATGATTAGATTTGTAAAGGAGATGGATTGAAACCAACACTACTAATGAAAATATTGATAAAACTTATAGAAGTATAGCATAGTAAAATAATTATTAATCACAATTGCATCTGATTAAAATATAGAACATATCCAGGTAAAAATGCATATTTTGAAAATGTTTGAAATTTTAAAAAATTATTATTTTTGAGTACATTATTAATCGATATTTATTAAAAACATTAGAATCGTATCACATAAATTCATTTAGTATTTCTCAATAACCTTTTCAGCCATTGCTTTGATACCAATCCAGGTTTCAGAACAGAATGGTGTGATTTGTGAAGTAGATGGATTGAAACCAGAACCACCAGCAGGCAATTCCATTGTAATAGAAATAGGAATACCAGCACTAGCATGTGCATAATCATCACTGCCACCTGCTGCAGCATAGAGAACATTTGTTGAACTTCCAACAGTGTATTTAGTACCGGTGGCGGCTTTAATAGCGTTGGCACCAGCTTGGGCAACTTCATCCATATCGCGCCAAGTAGCAGGCAAAGCACTACATTGTATAAAATAAACGTTATAAATAAATGCAAATTTATAAAATAAAATTATATTATAAAATTAAATATAGTTATCAATTATTGAATTATTAAGAATTTCTACTCACCTAGTATAGCCCCATGGGTATAGCAAGTAGTTACCATAAGAGTGCAATGTCAAGTACATCTTAGCACGTCCAGTCAATGAGTGCATAATATCGCGTACAATTTGAGTTTCTGGCTCAGAGAAAGCAGCTTGTCCTCTAAATGTATCTGCGCAAGAAAGTGTTGAAGCACCAACCTCACCCCAGTGGAAATCAAAGTTACGATTACCATCAGTACCAGCGCAAGAAGAGGTGACTGGTTTTCTGGTTTTACGCCAATTACGTGAAGCAACATGTGAATATTCATACCCATCAGGATTGACAACGGGTAATACTACCCAATCATAAGTTTTCAATAAGTTAGCATTGGCTGCATAATTTTCAACCAATTGATTTATAATATATAATGCGCCTGCTGGAGCAATCCATTCGCGTGCATGTATGCCGGCATCAACAAAGATGACTTTCTTATTTTGTACACCATCACCATTTGTTATGGTAATTGTTTTCATGTTGCGACCCTCGTACGATTTGCCAACTGTCTTCACACTTACTCGAGAGGGATAGCTTTTAGCTAATTGATCCAAGTAAGCATTGATATCATCGAATCTTTGGAAGCTATTGAATGAAATGCGTTGTCCAGAACTCAGTGAACGCATAAGTGCGTTTTGCATGCGCTCCGCTTGTACGGATTCGCCGAAATTTTCATCAATGACAATATATTGTATGCCAAATTTATTTAAGAGGTTTTCCAATTCATATTGATCATTTGGTTCTACCAGCACACGAGATGGTGTACCAATTTGCTTGGGCAAATGGAAGAAATCATATTTTTCATCCTTGGAAAGTTGGAAAAGGAATTCCTTTTCAAACACATTCTTGGCATTGATATCGTAAACCTTGTAGCTAAAAATTATGAGATATTTTAAATTTAATGAAATGTATTTCACATGATATACTCACCCTTCGTAGCTCTCTGCACTGGCGAACGCAATGCCGCAAAACAGCAAGCCTATGAGTAGTTTGAAATTCATTGTGACGAGTTTGTGTTGACTTTGACGGTGCCAAAGTAAACAGTCTTTTACGCTTGTTTGTTCTATGCTTAACACTTTTATACCTTCAAGAATCGACGGTTGTTTATGTGTTATCTTGAAAATTGCAATAACTCCTCCTTCTTTGAAAGAGAAACTATCATATATATTTTGTTTTATTAATCTAAATCCTTATCAGGTACGAGTAAGCACGGCAAGTACAACATGAACGACTATTGAAATTCCCTGAAATTTATGAGTATTCAAAAATATACAAAAATATTGAAAATCCTCAGATTTCAATTTGCTTTCAAATGCGAGTTGTGGTCGTAAATCTACAACTATATCACTGATTTAAAAAGTAAATAATATAGAAATATCGTAGTAATAATCTAGAGTCACTTAAATAAAAAAGTAAAAAAATTTTGGGTTTGCTAGATCTTTTATACCCTACATACCACTCATTTCAGTTATTTACCATTTTCAAAATGACTTTTTTTTCATGCAGATACTAACCACTAGTTTTGTTCTGACATCAAATTAAAGCATTTTAAATATATAAAAATATAAGTTTATTCTCGACAATAATTTTGTAAAGGCATTACATACAGCAGTTAACCCATTTCATCCATTCTTCCACTTAAACTACCATATTCACAAAAAGGTCTAGAACAAAAATGAGTTACTATGTGAGGTGTTATAAAACGGGTTGCTATTGGTCCCTTTCAAAAATTTCTAAGCTCATACACTATGATAAGTTATGATACTATGTTACGTTCATTAAATAGAAATGTATATACCTTGTGATCAAAAAAGAACTTATTCACGGGAACTGTGATTCCTGAAAACTTTTCGACTTCTTTGTATAGACGCCAAACAAAAACTAATCCTACGATATGCGTTAAACTTTGATAAAATGTATATAATAGTGTTGCCAGGATAAGCGCGGGAATTCAAAAATAGGCTTCTCGTTCTTTTTTGATCAGAAGGTAAGATGTAAGAACATTATAAATGCGAAATACTGTTTAATACCTTAGATTTGTATTTTCATAATATGGAGGAGAGGACTAAGAGTCCGGTGGATATCATAATCGAATAGCTGTTGTGCAAGTTATGAGCATTTATGGTTATTATAATCCCCAACATGTCCCTATATTCAGCGTATTAGAAATAAAATAATAAACTTAATGACTCTTCATTTACAATAGTGTGAAGGGTATAAAAATTAGGAAATATTTTGATGACTAATTTTTATTTTATTCAAACATGTTTTAGACTTGTCTACCTCTTGTAAAAACAATAATTTTACTACACATTGTTAAAGGTTTTTTAATGGCTTTTATTTGATGTAGTGATATATTGAAATATAATTTATTAATGACCCAAATAAATCATCATAAAAGTCTATATAAAAGTTTTTTAAATGATATTTATGAAGTTCATTAATTCAAAGAAATGAATAGTACCACCGGAAACGTGGCTCTATTTCTCACTTATGGAAATTTACACTAGGAAGAAGAAGACCACCGAAAACCAGTTGATTATTATTTTCTGTAAAAATTGGTTCTTGCAATTCTAAATTTGAAGATCAGAATAGAAATAAAATGAAGGCTGTAGATATTGAAAATACATATATTTGTTTCCTACACTGTTCCAAAACTATAAAACCTTTTTAAAATGTATATACATATTATCAATTGCCATATATATACATATATCAAATATGTATCTGACAGAAAAGAAAGATTATAAATATATTTATTATATACAAAGACTTAAAATAAATGAAGGAAGATAGATGCGTCATACCCTAAAGAACATTAATATGGAATTATCATTGGTGCCTTTTATTGAAATGAATTAAGCTAGGTGTTAGTATGAACACCTACCTGTTCATGAGAAGTAAAAGCATGACAATGTTATTAACTGATTAAGTAATAGCCTCCTTTTTAATTATATATACTTAATTAAACAACATTTTAAAAATATACATAGTACCGTTTTAGACGTTTGTCTAAAGTTCAATATAAACTGCAATCTTACCATATTTTTATACTTTGCTTGTAAGTATAATAGATGCAGATTTTACAATTTTATTTTATTCCTTTTTTGGATGTGTTTTTGAATGTATTTCAAAATTCAAATACTATATATTATTTATTTCTAATAATTTTAGTAATTTAGAAAAAAAATTTATTTCAATAAACAGTTATTATGATTTAATAATAAACATTTATATGGATAAATATAGTTGTTTCATCAATATTGAGAGACGTGGGGCTTTATCTCCCCCAACCGTGCCCTTTCTCCGTGTTTATCAGTTTCGACCATATACAAGGTGAGATGAAAAAACTGCAATAAAGTAAAACGCCATAATTTTTTCATTTTTTTTAAATTTTATTGAATGAAAGCAAAAAATGTCGGAAATAACATCAAATTTGAGAATCGGTTTAGATTTGTTCGAATTGGCACGAACTATGGCCTTCAAACGGCCAATGAAACCATCACACGCTGCCCGAAAGTGGCTCTGCGGTATTTTGTCCCATTCTCGGCGAAGCGCTTGCTTGAGATAATCGACACTTTGGTATTTTTTAGTGCCAACCTTGCTTTCCAAAATACCCCAGGCACAATAGTCCAACGGATTGGCATCCGGAGATTTTGGTGGCCATTGTGCGGTGGAAATGAAGCGAGGAACCTCATTTCTTAACCATTCTTGGATGGCGCGTGCTGAGTGCGATGGTGCTGAGTCCTGTTGGAATGTCCAAGGTCTGCGGCCGAAATGTTTGCGTGCCCAGGGCTTCAGAACTCCCTCCAAAATATTTTCGCGATAGATTTGCGCATTTAATTTGACACCACGGTCGATGAATACGAGCGGCGAGCGACCATCGGCTGTTATGGCGGCCCACACCATCACCATGGCCGGCTTTTGAGTTGTGATGGCCAACCGAAGTTGCAAATTTTCAGCTGACCTCTCTGGCAAGTAAACACGATCATTTTGTTTGTTTACAAACTGCTGGATAACGAATGGTTTCTCATCGGAGAAAACCAAATTCGGCAGTTCACCACTTTCGGCCAAGCGAAACAACTCTTTAGCTTTTTCGAGTCTAACTTTTTTTTGCGCATCAGTAAGATCTTGCACTTTTTGGAACTTGAATGGCTTTAGTCCAAGCTCATTTTTCAATATTTGCCGAATGGCATATTGCGATATGTTCAGCTCACGAGCCATTTTTCGTCCACTGCGACGCGGATTTCGTTCAATTCGCTTTTTCACTTTTCGAACCATTTCTGCCGATGTTGCTGTTTTTTTTCGTCCACTTCCTTGACGTCGGGCTACGCTACCAGTATCATGGTAACGAGCGATGGTACGAGACACAAAACATTTATTCACTTCTAAATGCTGGAGGGCTCTAACGATAGCCACTTGTGGTTTTCCAGCCAAATGCAAAGCAATCACACTATCACGCTTGAATTCCATCACAAATAACTTTTTTTTTGAAAAATTCCCACCAAAATGCTTTTGTGCGCTTGTAAACAATATAATGAGCTGTCACTAGAATAAATCTGACAGCTGTGGGACGAGCGGTTTAGAAATGACAGCAGTCTGAAGTTGGTTGCAGTTTTTTCATCTCACCTTGTACATTGGTATGTGGGTTCGCTCCTTCAGCTTTTGACCGAATATATACTAAATGGAATTATTTCTTTTACTTATTTGAATTTTGTTGTAGAATAGTGCATTTAATATGGTGTTTAGTTGGCTTGTTGGTTGCAGTGGCTAATCGGCAGATAGTATTCCATCTCATTTCATATAAGGAGTCATTGATTGTCGTTTTAAACATACAATCCTTGATCAAATTCTCGATTTGAACTATTCAGTTGAGTTTATGTAGTTTACAAATCTTCCATGTTTATTAATGAGCTGTATAAAAAGCTGCTAAGTACTTCTCTTCTATCGATAAACAAAAGCTGGACAGATACAGAGAAACTATGTAAAAAGAAACGATAAATATGTGTCTTATGTTCGTCTAACTTTCTGCAACTTCTAATATAAAGGTTGAATGAAACACTTATTTTTTCTTTGTCTAACTGGTTCTAAGGAAACATATACTGGCACCATTAGGAAAATGTCTGCAAAAGCATTAATGCGGACTAAACTTTCTTGTCTTTCATATTCTTCAATGTTCCCATGGCTAGAAACTTAGTTCTCTTATTAGTTTTGTGATAATGATGAAAGCTAGAAGTATTTTAATACCCGTTTGACTGTCCATAAACATGGCAATATTTCTTATATTTCTAATATAATCCTCAAATAATTATTATCCTTCAAATAAGTGACAAGCCTCTTTAATCAACAGGACTTTAGCCTGAACAACTGTAGCTTCATTAAGCAACTGAAGAGAGTAATTTATATCTGTGAATGGCGAAAATATTTCAAAACTTGTCCTGCGATCCGTTTTTAAGTGATCCGTGAAGTAGACCAACAATATGAGTTGTCTTCTATATTGTCTTTTTTGCTATAAAATGCGATATTAAGTTATTTCATTTTAATTTGCGAATAAAGGTATATCTAAATAAATGTATAACTTATGAGTAAACATTTCAATACTATTAAATAGTATTTTGCAGTATTTCGAAGAAGTATATCAAGTTAGATAAATGAAGAGTATGTTTTTAAAAAAATCAAAGGTTTGATTGAATACAAAGTTCAATAAAACCTTGGAATTGTTAATTTTTTATTTTAGTATTTTCAAAATGTTTTTTCTTAAATATAATAATTGATTATTAGTAATATTCTTTAATAGAAAGAGATAGTAATAGAAGTGTGAATGGGTAATACCATACCATATGAGTTATAAAAGCTATACAATTTTTACCATTATTTTCTTGATATTCGTTTCTCAATCGTTTACTGTATTCTTACGATTTATGAGATACTGTAGGTTATTTATTACATTTTGGAAGCCTCTTAAGAAATTCCATATTATTATTGACGCATTGCAGTAAAAATAAATCACGACTAAACAATAAAAGAGTTCAAGGGTTTGATT